GTCAAGGGCGGTATGATGTCCACGTAGTTGGCCGGGAAGAGACCAGTCTTGTCAGACCTGGTGAGACGACCGTGCCACCAGTTCTCGTCCTCACGACCCAGCACCTCGATCACGTCCCCACGCCGGAAGGACAGCTCCTCTGCCTCACTGGCCTCGAAGTCGAATCGCGCGATGACGCGCTGGGTGGAGTGATTTTGACCGGAAGTGCCGTAGGTCTAGGGGAGGGAAAGACAATATGGAGCAGATGAACCACCACCACCATGCAACTACGTCCATACACATCTCAATACCAATGCCCAAAGTCGTGCGTAAAAGTACATAAGCTAACTCAGAAAAGGTTAACAACAATTTTCAAACGCGTTTGTGATTAGGAAACACTGTAACACTATTTAATATTAGAGTATAATATTGTTTATCGCGCAGCATAACTCTAAAATATTTCAGTTACGACAGGACATCGGCTTTTGAACAAGCTTCTTGCCGACCGGCTGCAAGATGCTGCGCTATGTAAGTTGTTTAAGATAAGTAGTATTACCTTTTGATGTTCATATAAATTCAAACATATTTTATAGCAAACATGCGCAAATATATTGCTTCTCGTACTTTTTCGGTAGCAAGTTAGAACATCTTCAACCGTTGTACTTCAAGAATGGCTACTGCTCGGTTTTAAGGGGTTTTAAATTGTGAGTAGTGGTCATGGGACGAGCACGCGGAATGAAAATCGCTGTCACGAGCACGGAACGAAAAATGTCACCAGAGAACGGTGGAACATGCAATTGCCACCTGACGTCGGCCACGGAAGAAAGAGCGTCTGTACTAGCGTCATTCGACAACACAGCATTGGATTCGCTAGCCGTATAGCGCGACTGCCTTGGCTGTTGCTAACACCCGTTGGCATAGGCCCTTTGGGTAGTTGGCTTGTAGAAAACCTGAAAGGCTTTGTTAGGATCGATTACGTGATTCGCATCGATAAGGTGTACGAGAATAGAACTCGAGATGGATCTCGTCCCATCAGGCTGCTATGCTTCCCGTACGCTCATTTCCGAGCGCCCCGTTATTCGGCTAATGTATCCTGCTCCACAGGAGCAGGTGACCTCAACATACCGATCTCGTCATGCGGGCGGTGTGAAGCGATGAGTCTTAATTATAAGAAATTTATAAACACAGTCTAACTCTCGTATTCTCAGTATCAATGCAACTGTACATTTACATGGCAATTAAATAAAGAAAAGACGCTAGTTGGTGGAAAGAAGTAGTGTTGTTGTCAGCGTCATTTGGCTACAACAGAAGCGGCTGCCATCAGGCTACGCAAACCGGGACTGCGTACTCAAAAGAACTTTGGAACAGTGCCGTAGTTACCATGGGCGAAAGTCACAAACCCAACTGCACACGGATTATAACCTGCCTTGCAACCGGGTCTGCCAGAGAGGGACAAGTTGCTAATTCCCCGCCAGCCCACCTAGACACTGACATTTTGATCTTGAACTCTGGAAAACCTAAATACAGGTGTGTCAAAACCATTCGCGTTCAAAATTATTCGGAAATTGAAAAAAATGTTTGAACTCAAAGATACCTTTTCATGAATCATTAGCTTTAAAGAAGATGTAATTTGTTACTAAATGAATCAGAGGAAGAGTAGCTTTATGCAGATTTCTTATTAAAAATAGTTAAATGTATAAGAGTATTAAAACCCTATGAAAAAAATTCATCATAACTGGGTGGTAACTTTTAGAGTGCAATTTTATCAGGCAGCCGAAAAAAATCTCGTTAAAATTTCGGCATACGGACGTCTCCTGCAAATCTCTTTGGACTGCGCTACCCAATAATTTATATTAAAACATACCTTAAATCATCTCAGCTAGTTCAAAGAACTTCCAGATCTCGACTCACACAGCACACGTCTAACCCGAGACGCAACTAGACCGCGCAAAAAGTACTTTACCGTCTGTGTGAAATGATCATTTTATGAGTAATCTTGACGCGACTTCGTATAATGAATTCGCAAACGTAATTACAGTAGCGGCACATTTAAACAAAAGAGTGCTTGATGTCGTTATAGTAGTGCATAGTTGAGGCGTGAAACCAAGCGGATCTGTAAATCTGACAGTTAAAAATCGATAAAACATGCGGGTTGCCAAAAATAACTCGTATGTAGGCAACCTCGTTCTCACGGTTTACAGTGCACTAAATTTACATTTTCAGTTGCGGCAAGGCCTGTTTGATAAAAACCCGCGCGGTTAAATTACTCCCTCCTCTGAAATAAAAACGGCGGGTCGGAGGTGTAAACCAAGTAGAGAACACATATTTTAACGCAGGGGCAGGGGTAACCTGGATATCTGCTCAAATTTAGAAACATTTTAACCGAGGGGGGAGTTGGCATATTTGAATAATCCACTTGACTGAATTGTGAACAGTTTGCGGCCTCGATGGGATTCGAACCGACACAGCAATGAAGGCTTTTGGTAAGCCAAAACCCTACCATTGAACTATGAAGGCAAGCCGAAGTTTTGAATTAAATCCCACTTTGGTCGATATACCCGCCCATCACGGATACATATTCTGTATGCAAAAGGGTCATTTTGCGGAACGGACTAGACGAATGGGTAAAATACGCAGCCATTCGAGTGCTTGACATTGATAATTACGACTTCTGTCATCAGGTTTCATGAGTTAGGTCACAAGTGAACACACATACGATGACAGAGAATGAAGAATGCTTGAAACCTCCCACCCAAATCTCCCTCAATGCCACAGAGGCAAAGAGAAGCCTGGCGGCAACGTTATCTACAAAAAGAGTGAGTGTTACTTTCTGGCGTTTTTAAAAGTAGAGAAGATAGGACAGAGGGGGAGGGGGGCATGGATGTGCGCACGCCAGCGGACATGAGCAAAAAAACCTCCAGAAAAGAAAAAAAGGCTTCCAATTTTGTCAACCGCAGCCTACTTGGCCGGGTTTACATGTGAGCGTGCGTGTGAAACAGACCGGCGTGAGTTGCTCTGCGCCCTGGACCGACGAGAATACAAAGAGTCGCCGCGCTATCCGTCGTAAGTTTGCGTAAATGGAGAGGACAGTGTCTGTTGGTTTGAGCTTCGGCGGAACTTTTTTTGTTTCTCGAGTCCGCAGTCGGCAGTCGGAGTGTCGGTTACTTCGACGCGTGGATGCCACCACCAACGGTAGGTTGAAGCAGACTTAAGAGGAAAAATAAGGTTCGATCGCTGGGACGCATCACTTTTATTCGCCTGACGTTTCGATATGCATCGCGGATTCTTCATTGGGGACATGAAGCCAGAGTCGGCGCTGAGGCTCAATTTGGCCAAAGCAAGTCGCCACTTGGGGAACGCAAGGGCCACCGCATTGCCTTACGCCCACGCCGGAGAGCTACATGGCCGAGCAATCATCACGCCCGAAACCACCACGCGTGATGAAAGTTCAGCAAGTCAGAGCCCGCATGCCGGTCAACAAGCTATCAACGCACAAGAGGGCAGTAATGACTATGCCCTACAAATACTGTGCATATGTTACCCGTTTCTGCTATTGCTTTCTGTCCATGTCTCTGATGAAGAATCCGCAACGGATGTCGAAACGTCCGGCGAATAAAAATGTTATGCCAGCGATCGAATCTTCTTCTTCTTCTTCTTCT